AAACCTTTGCATATAAAAACAAATATTTTGTGAACTTGGAATTCCGGATCTCTCCAGCCAAATTTTATTTTTGTGAAGAAGACTCTGACCTCTGCCTCCAGCAATGAAAAGACATGAAAACTTCGACTCGAACTTCAACTTCGAAGCCCATATTTTCTTTATTGAGTTAAAAAATATTAATTTGTACTCTAAGCCACAAATGTTTGAAATGTCAAATACATTTATTACCAAAATTGGCAAACACTTATATTCTCATCTGGAGCTTTTGCAAAGTTACAATTATTTTGAATTCATGTGATCACAATATGTTTAATCAGGAACCTAGATTAGCAATATCTCCAGATTTGATTTGTTGACAAAACCTAAAAAAAAAATAATATTTTTTTTACAAAATTCTAAGAAATAAGAAAGAATGACCAAAAATTCTTTTTGTTTACTCTAAATTGTTTAAAGTCTAAAAATCTATTCCATAATATTGATATTAACAGGAAATTGTATTTTTACACTACCGTACAAAAATTTTAAAACAAATTTTAATTTTAATAGACGATCGAAATAAAAAAAACACATTAGCCTATCTCCGACGTAATGAATATGCTTGGAAGAGTGGCGAACAGGTTATTTTAACGTTTCTATTATAAAAGAAGAAGACGCCTTAAAGTGCGATATTTTAAGTTTTATTAAAACTTTCTATCCAATACTTTTATACTGTAGTGTGAGTTCTATACATGTATTTACATTGTCATTGTTTATTTTTAGTAAAGTCAGTGACCTAGATAAATATATAGACTAAGTAACACAAATACAATGAATATATAGGAGGAATAACCTATACATTGTAAAATTTCTATAGTATTTTATAATAAACAATCCATTGTTTATTCATTCAAAGATATCGCCATGCTTATCAATGTTTTTGTTTTTTCTACTGGTGAATAGAACATTTGAAAATAAAATCTATAGAGGACTTGAGAGGACTCTATAGAGTATTTTGAAAAACATGTTTTTTTTTTTAACTGAAATTTTTGTTTTTGCAAATATAAACGTATTCAACAGTATAAAAAATTATTGTATGCAGTGCAGACACATACACGTATGTTTATGTAGAAATAATCATGGTTGAAGTGTTCTATGCTTTTAAATTGTAATGTTACTGGGATGTATTAAAATTGTATTTAACACATTTTGTTACAATATTTTTTAGGAAAATGTGTTGAATATATCAATATGTTTTTAGAATACTAATTAATTTCAATCTCTCCGTTCTAACGACCATCTAACCGCCTTTGCATCTGTCCGGTTGTCTATTTTCCCTATTTCTGTTTTGTTTCCCTACTATAAAATTATTACATCTTTTAAAGCTGAAATAAAAATATCTAAATAAAAATATTACATTTACCTTTCACTTAGCTAAAAATAAGGATTCTCAACTCAATTATGTATCTATGCCTAATTCCACGAAACTAAAACTGAGAGTCTATTGAGGGAAACAGAAAAATGCAAAATGACTACTGTTATATAGGATTATATTTTGTTTCATTTTAAGCTTGTAACAAAATTAACTTCAACAATAGTAGACTAAACAAGTTTTTTAAATGAAATTAATTAATTCTCTGAGGCTCATGCTTATTCTACAGATAACTCAATAATCTATGTAATCTATGTTTTTTTATGAGTTGGAGTCAAATATTAATGACGGTTCAGTTTGACGACATCCTGATCCTACAGATGTAAATACCTTTGTTTTTTATTGATTCAGTTGAAAATTAACTTTATTAACTCTTTTTTTCTTTTTTTTTTTTTTGCGAGACATAATTTTATTTATTCAAATGCGAAATGAAATATTTTTATAAAAAAAATATTACTTAAGAGAATTTTATTTATATAGTCCTAAAAATGTCCAAGATTACAATTAAAATTAATAAAATTTTCCTTGAAAATAGTACTAAAGTTTTTGGGACGGCTATCCAAAACGAAAATTTCATTCTTCCACAAAAATATGAGATTCATTACATTAACTTTATTTGGTTTGTTAAAGCTCTTCTATCATGTACATATATTAATTTGAATTTTATAACTTTGGGGTTCTTATAGCTTATTTGATGATTAATGACAAAGTAAAATGCGATAACGTAAATCCAAACTGTGATACCTACATTTGTGTTTATACAAAAGATTCAAATAAACCAGAATGCAGTTTTGATTCTTCTGCAGAAATTGATTCTTTAATCATGAACCAGGTCATGGCATTTGTAAACGTATGATATTTTAAATTCCTACAAAATATAGAATATTGCCAACATGATTTTATATTTATTTCAGCATATAAAGCAGCTGATAATCAAGATTGCCGAAGAAAAGAATGTAAATGTATAACGCCTACTGGTCCTACTGCACCTTAATATTTAGAAATACATAGGTAAAAGAAAAGAAAGTAAATGTAATTTATTGAAGGTATAATAAAAGAATAAAAAATAAAAATTTTATTATAGTTGTTGAGATTGTTTTTATTGTCTCTATTGACAGCACTAACGATAACCGAGCGTTACCAAAATAGTAACAAATTACTCATTTGGAGCTGCCAAGGGAAATACCCACTTCATATGGGGCAGACGTGAAAAAGTAGATACATTTTTGTTTCCAAATATATTTTAGTTTGTGTCCGCACTTCTGTATATAAGTTTTGAGCCAAGTTTCGTAAAAGTTAATTATGTGAATTTAGTCTGCGAATGTTATATATTAATACGAGTATTAACTTTTGAGACCCAACTTTTGAGCTATTAGCACAATTATCAATGAATTCGCTTGGAATTTTAATGATGAACCTTTTTAACTAGGAAAATGCTATCCATGAGGCAATTTTTATATTGAACAATATTTATAAATCTTTCTGTGAGTTGATTTTCAGGCTGTTACGATGAAAAAGCATAGTTATTTATAGTATACAAACTTATTCCTAGCTGTACCTGAAAATCATAAATATGCTTCCATATTGGCAACAAAAAGCAAAATATGCAATAAAGTTTGAAAGCACTTAATATTTGGGACAAAGAACTTTGAACTTGAAAATTTTTTGACACTAAAGATTATTTGTCCAGTCTACAATAAACAAGTACAATATGTTAAATTTCTGGAAGTAAATATTTTGGTCGCCATCAAAATTAAATATTTATTCCTATAGGTACATTCATAATTTACATAAAAAGTTTTATTTTTAAATATCATAAATGCGCTTTCAGTAAGTCATAATTGAAATGAGTCATTATATAATGTACAATATAGTGTTGTGAATTAAAGCACTAAGTGCACAGAGGAGTTAACTTACATTTGCATTTTAACACATTTTTCATTAACAAATTGTAAAAGTATTAGCTTTTTTGTTACTTAACACCTATGTGCACTGTCAATCTCGTTTTCTATTAAGTTTCTTGCTATAAGAGTAATCACAGTTAAAAATATATGAAATTTAATGATGTTCTATCCGAAAAGCTCGATTTTCGTTAAAATGTTAGTTAACGTCTTTGTTCACTTGCCTCTTCTGTTACATATAAGTGAAGAGGTTAATTTGATATTAGATTACAAGGCAGATTAATGCTATTCTTTTGTCCAGGTTTACATATATCGATATATTATATACCTTAACAATAGGCCTCTTCATAAACACGGTATATCTCGATGTATAGTAGAAACTATACTATATTTATGATCAAAAGCAAATATTTTTTTAATATTGCCAATTCCATAAATCATAAGAAATGTTTTGATTTCATAGAATAGTTAAAATATATTGCATATTCATCACGTTATGCTATTGCAGTATTCCGTTTTGCAGTTTTTATTTTCTAGTACTGAGTTTATGAGAAAATCACTAACGTTTTTTTCCATTTACAGCAATGCAGCGAAATTCTGTTCGTTTTCTAACTTAAATTCCTTTATAAGATTTTTGATTTTATTTTAAATGACATTAAAACAAACGATTACCGGCGAACAGAAACAAATATTTAATTGATAATTTTAGGTTGATCGTGACTTTCTTTCTGCTAGATTTTGTGCAAGAACACTATGTTGAAGTTGAGTTGCTAAATTATTTGTGATGGATGGCAAGAATTTTCATTTGAATTTTTGAAAAGATGTTAAAATGCTTTTTTCCATGACATTAATGTTAACAACAGTTTAGTAAGTAAAACATTAAATTATAATTTTTATTACCGCAAAAGTTCAAATTTATTTTTTTTTTCAATTATACTTATAGATTTATTTAACAAACTTCACTAAGAAAATTTCTAGTCAATATTGTCTAATTATTTAATTTTGGATATCTTAATAGTCTATTGCGTTATATAGGATATTGTGTTTTTAAATAAAACCATACTTGATAACTATATAAAATTAAATACTATACAATTTACACAGTTATTATTATTATAAAAGGGCTATTATAAGACTCGTTTACTTATTCTAGATTTAATTAAATCTTCCTCTTAGTAATTAAAGAAAAAACTTTCCTTTTAAGGATTTATTTTTGAACAATAAATTAACAAGTGTTATTCAAAACAAGTGTTTTTCTTTTTTTATATTCGCTATTTTCAGCACAAAAATATTGATTTTAAATTTAATAATTAAAATAATTTACTTTAATTTTACACTTCTTTAATTTTACACTTCTCTATTTTAAATTAGAAATTATTAGCCCTTTGATTTTAATAATATTTTTTAAGTTACTCAAACTGTACTGCACATTTTGAATCACTTTGTAAATAAACAAATAAATAATGATTGCATAGCAGGGAAAAATATAGTATTTGAAGTAGGAGAACGTATCCAGAAAAAAAAGTTTCACTAGCGTTAGCTATAAAATAACTTTTTAGAATAATAAAATTATTTTCTTGCTCGGCACTTGCATTTCCGCCGTCTGCAATTTTGATTCTTTGCCACTTTGTACGCTATTAAAAAACATTCATTATTTTTAAAATAATTTCATTTCTAAAATAAATACTTACGTAAACATTTTCCTCTATATCTTTTGTTCCACTTTCTTCTTGCCTGTTCTGATTCAAAGGTACATAAAACTTTTTTCGGATTCACTGTATACACACATATGTACTTATTATTACAAGGAGGTTTTGTTGGTGGTTTAGTTGGTGGTTTTGTTGGTGGTTTCGTAGGAGGTTTTGTTGGACAATGAGTTGGGGGTGTCGGCGGAGGTGTCGGTTGTGATGTTGGTGGTGGAGTAGGAGGAGAACTTGGTGGTGGAGTTGGTGGAGTTGCTCCAGTTGGTGCAGGTGTCGGCGCAGGCGTGGGCGCTGGTGTTGGTGCGGGTGTTGGCGCAGGCGTTGGTGGTGTAGCTCCACCCGGTGCAGGTGTTGGGGCAGGTGTTGCTCCAGTTGGTGCAGGTGTTGGGGCAGGTGTTGCTCCAGTTGGTGCAGGTGTTGGAGCAGGTGTTGCTCCAGTTGGTGCAGGTGTTGGTGGTGTTGCACCTCCCGGTGCAGGCGTTGGAGCAGGTGTTGCACCCCCAGGTGCAGGCGTTGGAGCAGGTGTTGCGCCCCTAGGTGCAGGCGTTGGTGCAGGTGTCGAACCAGTTGGAGCAGGTGTTGAACCTCCAGGTGCAGGTGTTGGCGCAGGTGTTGAACCAGTTGGAGCAGGTATTGAGCCTCCAGGTGCAGGTGTTGGCGCAGGTGTTGAGCCTCCTGGTGCAGGTGTTGGAGCAGGTGTTGCACCTTCTGGTGCAGGTGTTGGCGCAGGTGTTGTGTCCTGGCTATTAACGTGTGTTACCAGTATGGCTACATAAAAAAAGGTGATTATATATTTTTGTTTTATATTTTTTTTATCTTATCATACATACCACTTAAAATAATTATGAGACATTTCATTTTATACGAAAACAATGTTTGATAGTCCAATGCCAAATAAAATGGATTTAAAAATTTTTGTAGATTATATACCACTTTTTCGGGACTATATATTGTCTGTTTGCGAAAAATCTAAAAATAGTTTTGTAAAATAAATTATATTGACATTTAAATTTTTAAGAATTTTATTAATTATTATGGAACTAAATTACATGAGGTACAGCATAGCATAAGATAAATTAAATATTATTATGGAAATTCAGGAAATGACGTTTTCATTTCTATATTGTTTTTTTATATTAATCACTTGTTTAAATATTGTAAATAAATACAATATTAATAAAGTAAATAAATATGCTGGTGAACTAATAAAAAACTGAAATCATTCTGTGTTTTTCCTGTGTGTGTTTTCAATAAAAATACAAATAAATCAATATTTGAACTAAAATACGTCCGCTCGCTCATTGACATAATTTAACTTCGCCTTTATCGTAAATTGAGATTAAGTTTAAAATCAAATCATAAAAATGTCAAATGTCTTGATATTTTGTATTCTAAATAAAAATATCCTATTGATATTTGATTTGTTCCCCATCCCCTACCATAATAATTATTTGATAAAAGTTATATAACGCCCACCCGCACTCCCTCCCTCCTGACAACAAAATGATAAAATGCAAAATGTTTTTATTTATAAAGGAATTGTATGCAGATTTAGTTTCGGATGCATAGAATTTGCCGTGAAATTTGTAACTGCATTATTTTTATGCTTTTCAGGAATATTATTAGTCTTTAAATGTTTAATTTGAGAGCAATTAAATTTTACACTGGTGTTACACCATTGACGTGTTATTCTATTCCATCTTCAAGGAAAGGAAGCAGAATCTCTCTTGATATATTTAATCTAGTATTTCAACAAATTTTCTAGAAAACTTTTATATTTTTTCTTTTAATAATTTTAAAGTCTCCGAATCACCAAGATTTCAAAATCTTTTTCTTTAAAAACCATCGCTTTTGGGTGCACAGAGACATTCAGAAATACATTCATTTATATTTTAGACTGAATTACTTTAGCAGTGGAAGATAAGAAATTAATGGAAAAATAATGTTTTTTCCACAGGATTTTAAAATAAAATATGTATGCACTGAGAATCTTAGGATAACATTGATTCAGTTTCGTTATACAATATTATAACAAGCACAAGAGCACAAATGAGACATTTCTTTAATATAAAGAATAGTGCCATTGGAAGGAAAAATTGAGCAAGCGAAAAAATGTTATTAAATTTACTTTTAATAAATTTCATTACCTGACTGTGTTATTATTTGTGTATATAGATGAAGAAATACGTTTTCAATCCGTGATATAGCCAAAATAAACTCACATATAAAATTTCCAAATTGGTTCAGCCGAACTTGAGGTGCACGCTGCAACCATAGACAGATCGACGCACCGACAATTCTGTAAAAATAGTTTATTTAGGCTTCCCTACCATGGAAAAGAGAATAATGTAAAAAATTGATACATATCTAGCTACATAATTAAATATTTTCATCTTATATTTTTATTGCATAACTTTAGGATATTAAGAATTCAGAATTTTTTAACTTTGATCAATTTTTCATCTTAATATTTTATGCTACTTAACTTTTGTTTTTGCTTGCAGTTCTGTAAATTTTTGAAATAAAGCGCTTAAATTAAGAATACAACAAAATTTTTGTTCAAATAAAAGACTTTCGGATAAATCACTTAACTAGTTAGTAGGATTATAACAAGTATTTTCACATTTTTAGAGCTTCCACAATATTTCAAGAGATACAGATGATGCTCGAAATAGACAAAATATTCAAAACAAATAATTGTAACACAAGGAGCATTAAGTTAGATATTCTAGTGTTAAAAATCCAAAAATGTGTTGTTTTTTTTGAGGCTCCAATTTTGCAGCGGGAGCACCAATATTTTTTTCGATGTATGATTCTCGCAAAATCTAAAAACACCTACGTTTTTTTTTTATTACAGATTTTAAGTCAAAGCCTTAGGTAACGTACAGAAAAGGTTGATCTCTATGACTTATACGCATTACCCACTTTAATTAATTATTTTTCGAACAAAATGAAATTTCCCAAAGGCCATTAAATAGAATTTTATTATTTTCTAGTCATACTTTGTTATAACCAGAAAATTAAATAAGGAACATTATAAACCTTTACGAATATTATTTGAACTGAATGAATGTTTTCCGATTACTAGAACTTTTATATTTTATTGTATTATATCTGCCCGACTTGGGAAAATGTGTACATAATATTGTGTACCCTTTTGTTTATAATGCTATATTTATCCAGATGCATTTTTTTGTCTTTTATATTTAAAAACTCAAAAACATAATTTTGTAGTTTTTTTGTTACAGGAGAAGTATTGATTATTCATCATTCATGAGGTCATTAGATCATTGACCTTTTCAAAAGTGTAATTGATTATAAATTGATAAACTAATACTTAGATTCGATAACTGAATTGTTTTCCCATCTTATTTTTTTTTACTCCATTTTGCTAAAATTTTATTATTCAAAACATTCGTTCTATAAGAAGCACCCTATCCTATAAATACAGAAATCATAATAACATATTTACTTATAAATTTATTTAACGTGCAATAATTCAATGCATATTCGTCGTCCGTTGGCAAATAATATTAACCAAGGTATTAGTTAAGTGCTTAACGTAAATACTTCACTCAAAGAGATGTAATCGTTTTATTTAACACAATTTTCAATATTGGCTGCTTTAGCGATTGAGTAGAGAAATATTTTAAACAGTTTACTCAATGCTCCAGTAGCAAAAGCTTGGCCTTAAACCTGAATCGTCAGTAAGATAAAAATGATCGCCATAACCACTAACACAGACCTGATGAACAACACAGATCTAATTTTAAGTTTTTGCAGAAACAATGCAAGAGACACCGAAAATTAAAAAATAGTTTATCTAATAAAGTTGATAAATATATGAACTGCTAATGTAGACTACCTACACGATTATCTTGTTGGCGAAATTTACTTCTTATAGCAGACAATCCTAATATACGCTTTATTATTATTACGAGTAGAGTAATTGAGAGAGAGACAAAAAAAAAATAAACCTAATTTAATAATTCCAATTTTAATAATTCCAGTTTGGTCGTTAAGGGGTTAAAATTTCGTTTTGTTTTTTGTTGAGTATGTTATTCAATAATTTTTGTTATTAACTTTTACATACATATATATGACTCGTATTTGTTCATCTTTGACATGCTCACCGTAATTATTTAAATAATTGTTAATGCTTACTCACAAAAAAAACTTATAAAAGAAAGTGGTGACATTCAAAAAAAAATATTTCATTCTTGTGTGGTCGAAAGTGGAGTAAATAAGTTTTTCTATATAAGAGTTTTGTAGACTTATTGCGGGAAACAGAGCAAAAACTAAATATGAAACTGTTATACGTTATACTAATTAGTTAGTTAAAAAAATTTTTTATAAACTGTTAGAAAAAAAATATATATATATCTTAATAATTTTAATCAAATTTAGTATGCATATTGGGAATTGATTGTGGAAAAACTCCTACTGCAACACGTAAAACATCAACAACTACAACAACTTCAACAACTACAACAACACCAGCTCCAACAACAACACGCACAACGCCAACAACAACTAGTACAACAACAACGAGCACAACTACAACAAGCACAACAACTACCAGTACAACGACGACATCAACATCTACAACAACGACAACAACGACAACAACGACGCCAGCTCCCAAACCAATTTGTGCATGTTTAGATTGTGAAAAACCTATATGTACCTTTAATAGTGTCAAAGAAATGCAAAATTGGAATAAAAATCATCCTAAATGCAAATGTAAGAAAATGGTATTCAAAGCAATTTTAAAAAATTTTAATAACATTTTAACTTACAGCATATAGAGTGTGCTCCAAACAATGCTGCATGAGAAAACAATGTCCTTGTTTTAAAAAACCAACGCACTGGTGGTGGAGAAAATAAGCATTAAAGCCCGAACTTCATATTCTTTAATGGGGTCTTGTTTATAACGATATATAAAAGATGTATAGGAAAAAAATTTCTATTTTGATTATTAAAAAGTGAATAATGTTGTTTTCTTGGACCTATTGTTGAAACCCATAGAAACTGATATAGTTTGTAATAGGTCCACACGAGCTAGATATTAAAAAAAAAAATAAATAAAATTTAAGAAAGTCTGTATACTTTTAAGTTTGAGTTTACCGAAAGTATTTGGGTTTACCGAAACCATATAAGTATACATAATGTTCGCTTAGATGGATTTTGTGTTCGTCCTTTGAAAATGTAGCCTTTTGAACTTCAGCTGAACTTGAATGACTTTTGTCTTAAATGATTTTGTACTCTTGTTTTTGATTGAATTTCACTATTCGCTCTGAGGGTGTTAATTTGACTACATTTGCTAACGTTGCGGCAATATTAGCAGTAGGATCTTATGTTGAAGAATCGAGAAAAAAATTACAGGAAGCAAGTTCATATAAGTGAATGGGCAATAAATACATGGAAAATAAGACTAAATGAAAGTTAACCTGTCTATAAAAATAAAAGAGAAAGTTAACCTGTCTATAAAAACCTGTCTATATAAATTTCACAAACAAAAATATGATAAACCCACCACAATTGAATTCGAATAGCGTTATAGTATCAATCCAAAACTCAGCGAAATACCTAAGTATGATTTTGCATGTCAAGCTCAGATCGAAAGAACATGCAAAGAAGGAAAAACAGAATTAGAAAATAAATATAGAGAAAACTATTGGATCCTAGGTCTAAATTGGCAACATACAATAAGGTTTTGATACATAACCAAATGATAAAGCCTATATGGACATATGGCTTGCTGCTATGGTATTAAGCCAAGCAAACACATATCAAGAAAATACAAACTTTCCAGAACAAATTCCTTCGTGATATTGTGGTTGCTTCTTAGTATGTTCATAATAGTGACATTTTTAGGAATCTGGATGTTCCCGGAGTAAGTGAGGAAATGTGCCATGAAACGCGCTTAGAACAGCATATTTATGTCGACCTCCCGATTTATAGATCCTTCGATGGATATTAACACCTGTATCAAAAAAAAGAAAAAAGGGTATTAGCTGTGGAATCGTATTCACTTCAACCAATTATCTGTATCCATTAGTGACTGGAGAAATAATATTCAAGGAACATAAATAGTTCACAGTGTTCACATAAATAACATTTATTATATAATAATAATTACACTAATTTTATACTACATTCTAATTACAAAATTAAAAAATAATTTAAAACTAGAATTCTACAAGTCACTTCTCACAATTTGTTTTCAATAACTGGATATAACTGGATCCGTCCATTTCCACTCCATTCCATTTTCATTGAAAATTATTTCCATTCAACATTTTTAACCTTATAATGGTGAAATTGATAAACAGTTTTACTTGTGAAAGGCTCTCCTATTAAACCATAATAATTTAAATCTGGGAACCAAATTGCTTGAAAAATTGATGGAAAATTTATTACCAGATTTCGTACATAAATCACTACAATTCAATTAGAAATTTAGAATTAAATATTTTTAATAAATAAAATATTTTATTTTACTGAGAAATACTTACCAAAAATAACTATGACTGATTTGAAAATCATTTTTAATTGAAATGCTTAAACAAAATGTTTTATTGCTCTTTTATAATCATTTGAAAAATGAGTTCGCAAGCCATTTTATTAGTCTCGTATGTCTATATGAAAGCACAATATTCTAATGAAAAAAAAATTTTCCCTAATAATATAATTACGGTAATTCAAATGAATAATGTCTTTCAAAAACAAGCTGAACTAATAAATCCGCTTTAGAATAATTGTTCCTTGTTTATAATATTGTTATTGAGAAAATAAAAATATTCAATAAATATTGATTAAGACTTTGTTAACAATATTAGCATTTTGTGTTATTAATAAAGTCATCAATAAAATTAGGAATCCCAAATGGTATTCCCAATATTTTTTGCTTTTTTTTTTTGAGTTCATATACGCGTCTATCAGTGTCGTTTAAGATATTTTGCAAATTGGGAACACTTACTTACTTTTTAAGAATTGTTTGAGTTTAATAAAGCAAACAATGCAAAATTGATGATGTAATGGAAGCATTTGATTTTTAAATTTGAAAAATACATGGGAAAGATGTGTGCTTGAATGAATTGCCGCAATTCACTGCAACTTTTCTTTTCTTTTATCCTATTTCACCTCTGGGAGAAATATAGGAATAATACATAATATGATAGAGGAAAACATCCGAATTTCATGTGCTCCTTCGGTTACAGGACCGGTGCGATAACTACTGCACCATTGTTCAGGTTATTAACTTTGACTAGTTGACGATTATATTTTAGCTGAGACAATCGTAGAACTCAATTTTGAGCTGTAGAATAAAAGAGATTTTCTAAATATCAATATAGACACCATGTTAGCATATTTATAGCAGCTTATTATTAAAGTAATGCAAATATATTTTCGCTCATTTTAATTTAAAATGTCCGCGGCATAGTTTGATTTATTCAACTAAATTTACTTAGGAACTTATAACAATTTTACCCTTAACTACCCTAAAATTTAGGGTAGATCACGCATGTAACCAAATGCCTTCACACAAAACTGCAACTTTGTTCAATGCTATTTTTGTTGAAACACAAAATTACAATTAAATTTTCTAACATTTTATTCATTTAAAAAACACTTAAATGTTAAATACTTTAAAATTACTCTTGTTATCATAAGCAACTAGAACCTGACAGAACCGTAAGTCTTACGTTATTATCTCTTTAAACTTAAACTCAAAAAAAAAATTAATTTACTAAAACCTAATAAACTAAAAATAACATATTAAAAATTTAAAAAATTCCAACCAAAAATTGCTAACATGAGACCACCAAAGAGGATGACAAGTGCATTTCTGTTTTGGGCAATCATTCCTATACGATCTTCTATATTCTAAAAAAAGAAAGAAAAAAAATATACAATTAAAAATTTGTTAATCTTAGTTATTAATAATTTTTATCTTACTTATACAATTTGGATGTTGTGAATTCCATTTAATCATTTCATCTAAATTTTCAAATGAACAAATTGGTACTTCGATACAACCAACTTTACTTAAATAAGCACACATAAAGGGTTCCGTTTTTGGATAACTAACTAATGATATTTCTTTTGAACCTGTCTCAAGTAATGGTGTAAAATCCCATTCCTTTAAAATTTCTTCCATATTTTTAATTTTGCCACTGTTAGAGAAATCATATTTCACTTGTGCTTTTAGAGTATTATCATTAGTACTAGGAATTGGGTTTTGTACTTTTACTGTAATTTCACTAAAATTAACTACTGCAATATAAAAAAATTTTTTATTAGAACACAATATTAAAATTATAAATTGATTATTTTACCAAAATAAAATAAAAATATTAAAAATTTCATGATGTTTCAATTCTGATAAGGTTTTACTTAATGTTTAATACTGTCCATTCACATGAATTGCAACCCAACCAAAAATTTATGTTTATACCGTAACTGTACGAAGTTGCTTTATTCCTCTTGTGTATTTGGTTGTTTTTAATAATTTCACTCTATTTAATTTTTTATAGTAAACAATTGGTATAGCAAATACTCATAATTCGTAAAAACACTTAAAAATTGGAGATACCTAGATGTATGACAAAAATGACTCACTGATGCCATGGAATTAAAAACAAAAGAAGTAATAACAGAAGAATTTTTTCGCTGACAAATTATTGGCAATGTCAACTGTTCGCTCGTATGAATGAATGACTCCAAGTATTATGTGATAACTACCACGTAAACTAACATTATTATGCATCAGTAGTCCTTAGCAATACTTATTTTGTGACCACATGCAAAATAAACATATTTTTAAAAATCTAGTTAATTTAGCTTATCAGATACCAGATTCGGGCAGGAATGTACACAATCTTAATATAATGTACCTACAGTATGTTCCAATAACAGCGTCACGCGAATTGAAATCGCAGCGTCACGATTCGAACGCTTACATATTTTTTGCTTAATGAATATCGTAAATTCATACGTAATACTTCGAAAAATTCAAATGTTCGAAAGCAAATTCTACGTAAATTTTACTAAAATAAATAAATTATTTTTGACCTTGTTTACATTATCGAATTCACTTTTCGGATAGAAAATTCGGTATGGAATTTATGAAATTGTACTGCCTTAATTTCAATGTCATTTCGTTTGATCTCAATAACCGCTGCTAAAATAATTCATGAGTTAATGTTTACCTTTCACCTGTATAACATATTTTGTATAAAATACATAGAAATTCATATGTATGTGCATGCATTAATTTTTTTATTTTGTTATCCTAAAAGTATGCATTTTTCATTTAAATTTTCATTTTAATTTTGCTTCGATCATGTAATTATTATAAGTGCTAAGACTCACTATGCCTGAGGTCAATCTAGTTACAATGCTATTTCTGAAAAAAAAAACTGATATAAAATTATACAATAAAATTTTTTTAAGCAAGAATATTTTGGCTATCAAAAATTGAGTTGCTTTATTCATTCAGCTATACAGAATGAATAAAATTTTAAAGAACAAAACACCTTTATTTTTTATTTGAATGGGTAGTTTTTCTAATGATTTTTTAAAACAATAATTAAATATAACAGGGTGTTTCATATCTTAGTGCAATGCTACATTGTACCATTGCATATAATAAATTTAAAACCCATTCTGTAGTGAACAGAACTACTAGACCGTTTACTAATATGACATTATTCAGGTCATCAGTTTTGGCAAATGTAAAGCTAAATTAATTGGTTAAGATGAACATTTGCATAACAGAAGAGAGACACCAATGAATTATTCCATTAATTAATTTGAACAATTATTCTA